ATCCTCCGCAGGCAGCAGCATCCACACAGAATCCAAGACCCTCTGCAGGTGCCAGCATCCGCACAGACACCATCATCATCCACGTAACCACGCCTAGCTGGTTACCGCRCTCAAACCCTTCAGACTGAGCTGGATGACTGATCAACTGTTATAACCGACTCATTCCATATCATTGATCATCTCTGTGTGTTCCTCCCATCATTGACTGGTCCAGCCGCCATTTGGACGCGCCTTTCACCACATCATCATGCTCATGCTCGGTCCCGGCAGTTGGTTGAGAACATGACTTTTTTTTAAGTTTAAATTTTAAACCACCGCTACCTCTCCCAGGCAAAGTCGAGAGTTGAAAACGGAACATTCCGAAGACTTTGGATATTATACGGTGCTACCGGACCAAAATTGCTGGCGGCACCACGCAGACAAAAAACAACGTCGCGCCGTGGCGGTTCGGCAAAAGCTCGGCGCACACGGGGAACTGCGTCGGCAAAACGTGGTCAGAGGTGCTGGTTGTTTAAAAATTAAAATCCTTAGAGATTCTCATGATTATCGGGGGGACTCAGCAGAGTCAGCACCCAAAAGACTGAAGGACCATGACTGATACTTCAAATCCCTTAAGCACCCAAACACTCTGAAACAACAAACGGCGGACGGGTGAATGATTCTGTGTTTACCCAGTTTGACTGGTCGACACTTGAGCCATTTCAACACACGTCACAACAATACACCCAAACTCTGCACTTTATACCCGAACTTTTGCATCACCTTGGAAACAAAACGCTTTGACAACTGGTGTGGAATTGTTGGAAAATCCATGTCAGTGGAGGGCCCTTGGTGCCTTCACACTTGAGCTCCGGAACATCTCAGTCCACTGTCCCCTCGCCCCTTTTCTGATCATGGCTTTCTGCGCATCATGCACGGCTCGGAAACAACATGGGCTCCATCCAATGCAGCCTGAGCAGATAGGAGTTTAATAAAACGACTGTACCTGGGAGAAGCAATGCTCCACCGAAGTGATTCTGAGTTTTACGCAGGATGTGAGCCTGGTGGGTCCCACAACCTGCTTAGTTGCTGTACCAATTGTAGGTCCCACAGTTGAGTGAGTGGTGGATTCAGAGACTGACAATTTATCCATATTACCGATCTGCAAACGAAGATGGAGACATTTCATTCATCACCATAGAAAATATCTGCAAACATCGATAGCACACCATAGACGAGTGAACCGCAACCCCGAGCATTAACTCAACGTAGAGAAGAAACAATGGCGCCGATAAATCCTTCTCCGTGGCATAGCTTTTTTTATGGGTAAAGATGGATGAATCATGGATGGTTTAGCCTATCTGAGCATCAGACGTGAAACCTTGGAGTATGTTCTTCCGTGCGAGAACCTCATCGTACTCGTTGGCTGGCATATGAACTGCCAAAAGTCGGTCCACCCTTTGATACTCCTCTTGGATATACTGCAAACCATATTCTAAAGATTTCCTCATGATGTCTGTGTAAATCATTGCACACTTCCGCACGTCGTCTTTCTCTTTCACGGAGGCCGCTTGGCCTTCCATCTTCTCAAACGCTCGTATTCTTTTCGGGTCACTGGGAGCCTCATAAAATTCTCGGGCCAGCAAGTCAAACTGGTACACTCGGCCAAAGTTCCTCAGCCTGAGTTGACCTTCCAGGAAGGAGAGGAGCGACGCCAACGAACGCTCACCGTCGTACTCCTTCGGATGCTTCCCCCCTCTAGGAAAGAATTTGATGGTGGGGAACGCACGGATGCGTTGCAACGTGCCAAGCGTTTTGTACATATCCGCATCGAGCTTGGCAATTATAACGTGCAACCGGAAGGAAGGATCTTTCAACACATGGCGGGCGAGAGCTGAGTAAGTTGGTTCAAGCTCTTTACACATCTTGCACGCCGTCGAGTAGAAATTAACCAGCAAAGCCTTGTCGCCGCGTCGCAGCCCCGCAAAGCTGTCGGGGTTGAGATTCAAAACCGGGTTGATATGGTTCAAGTCCCTCACTTTCACGTCCTTCCCCAGAGCGTGTGCATTCTCCACATACTCTAGCTTTCTAAGGTGCCTCCATTGTTGAACACGCTTGCCGTCGTGCCACAGGTCCTTCACATGCGCGTCCCTCCCCTGTACATGTCCATTCTCCTCCACAAACTGTAGCCTCCTAAGGTGCCCCCGTCGTCGAGAAGCCGCATTTCCGCATTGCAGCCCCTGAAAGCTCTCAGGATTGAGAGTCAAAACCAGGTCGCCCCGCCGATTGGGGTCCCGCACACGCACATCCCTCCCACCTATATGCTCTTTGCCCACGCACTCTAGCTTCCTGAGGTGCCTCCATCGTTCGGAGCCAGCCCCTTTTCCTCCATGGACCGCATCGATCTTCTCGTCAGTTGCCAACCCCCCAAAAGAGCGACCTGTCAGAATGTCCCCCGGCCTCCTGTAAGCCTTGTGATAATGCTGTGATAGTCTTTGATCCCAATGTCCCAGTCCCCCAGACTCTGCTGAAACTGATGGTGTTCGCCACTGCGCAATCATAACCGCCGCCAACCAAATTAGTAAGCGCTTCAACTTCCAGGGACTAGAGTAGCAGCTCACCCTTAACGACCGCGCTGCCATGCTGTCACAACCACAGTGGGAACCAGCGCACACAAACTCCACATCGGTCATACTAGGTGCATCCATGTCGGTGAGTGAGTGCGCGCATGTGTTTGTCTGTGTTGAGTATTCATGTAACAAGTCCACAAAAGAAGGGTGAGTCAGACTGGCAGATAGTTTTGTCAGATGTTCTCTGACGGTGTATTTCAAACGATCAACAGAACGCCCCCTTCGCACCTGTGTTTTACACAATCACCACCAACCCCTTTTATGCCTGGTGTAATGACCCGCCAAAACACAGACTCAGAACACTGTTGATTTCTGGGATTTGACGCTGGGATTTATGTCTTGCTGAGATTCCCACATTCTGCTGTCATTTCTGTGTGTGTGTGTGCCTGCTGGTCTGCGTGCCTGTCTGAGTGCTTGTAGGCCTGAGTGTGTGTGTGACCTGCAAGGGTACTCGTCCGTTTGGAGGCCCCGCAGGGCCGGTACTTACCTGTGGCCGTGACTTTGAGGGTTGCGGCAGGAAAAACACTCTAGTAGCGGGGGTAGGCCTGCGACACTTAGAGCAGTGGGAAAAACACTCAAGTAGCAGGTAGGCCGGTATCACTCAAGTAGTGGTAGAAGTGTTGGGTACTCGAGGCCGAGCAGAAGAAGACAAAAAGTTGGCATTTTTACAGGCCCAGTAGCGGTAGGCTAGAGGTAGGCCGGTACCAGTCCAAGTAGCCTGAGTCTAGGGCCTGTACAGACGATATCAGAGCCTGCAATGATGTTTCCCTCCGAAAGGGAGCAGGTAACGGTTGCTGGGAGGCCGCGCGGCCTAGGAAGTCACCGCCCAAGAGGCAAGTAGGTCGCTAGATCGTCTGGAGGAGCAAGTAGCTCCTCCTCGTTTGCGATGTGCAAGGATTGGCGACATACTGCTTGAGCGGGCAGCCAGGACTCGCAGCGCTGCCTGCAGCAGCTGGGCGCTCAGCCTGACTATGGCGAGCAGCTGAAGAAGAATAAGATTGGCGAGGTCAAGGAGGAGGAGGAAGGTGGAGAGAGAAGGGGGCTTTCTCATTGGTCTTGCTGGTGTACATCTTCTTCTTCTTCTTCTTCTTCTTCTTCTTCTTCTTCTTCTTCTTCTTCTTCTTCTCTTCTTCTTCTTCTTCTTCTTCTTCTTCTTCTTCTTCT